TTAACTTGCACGTTACGGGGACTAAATTGTATACATTTTATTAAATGTTATAGATACAGAATAAAGTTGTGCTAGCCGAGAAAAATTCAATGTCAAATATCTAGGGCATCGCCCCAGATACAGTAACAGTATCAACGAATACAAAATGATCGTATGTCTATCGTTGATGGGACTGTTAACTACCTTAGTTTCGCGAAAAAAACAAACACTTCGTTTCATTGCCGTGTGCCAACTCCACAGTTCCATCGTGTGTGATATCATCATCGATGGAATCATCAAGTTCTTACAACTCAATATTCGATATCGACGAGTTTCACATTCACTGTGCGAGTCCATCCCAACCTAGAGTGTATTTTCCAGTATTCATGCGCTGCACATCAAAAGGAATATTCCTTTTGAAACCTTAATACGTGCGATCAGGTATTCATTGACCTTTGAATTGTTGTCGAAAGAAGAGGCATATATAAAAATGGCCCTGCTTTTAAATGGATACGAAATAGAATTCATTCAGACGCAATTCAAAAGAGTTTTCGAAAAATATTCTATACGGACCCCCAATTTTTTTCTATACCAGCAGCGCATGAATGCTGGAAAATACACTCTAGATCGGGATGGACTCACACAGTGAATGTGATCTGGGAATTTGGATACCCGTCTCTGAGTCTTTCCATTCGGATGGGTTTGTCAAACAGACCCAGGTGACACATCCAGGATGTGCAGGTCAGAGACGAAATTCATCGACCGTGTGCTAGTGAATCTACGTTCAATTTGTCGCGGGAATGTAGATTCGTTTTGTTTAATCAAGTGGGATACATTTCGATTTTTTTGTAGTACGTAGGTAGCAGGGCCGCAAATAGGAGCAGAACATTAGAGGGGACTGTAAAGCAAAATTTCTCTTTGAGGTAGTGCGCACCCTCCCGTTATTTGCGGCCCTGTAGGTATGCATCGGAGCTCAGTATGGACTGCGAATTGTAGTGCAATTCCGTTCGTGTCCATGAAAAACAGTTTATTCAGTTTCATGGGATCTAAAAAAGTAGGTTATTCCTACTTCTAAAATACAAATATAAAAGCAACATATTTTTCCTTGCTTGAAATGCATCCAAAAAGTTTTGTTCGAGACCGAATCAGTCCATGATCTTGATGTTCTTTTGACATCCAGGAAAATTGTCATAACGTATTTATTAAGAATCGCTCAGATTTCTGAAACGTCTCATTTTGTAGAGAAATGCTTGTTCTATGTAGTCACTACAAAAGATAAAATTAAAAGCTGAAAGACAAAGCATGTTGAATGAATTATTGCAGAGGTATGAACAGAGTTTATATCACTAATGATCAATTATCACCTACAGTTATGACATTGACAAACATATTTTTGTGATAGTTAATTTTCCATATTTTTTGTTTCAACAAGTAGATAGAACAAATCTTTCTCTACAACATGAGCGCGATGTTTCACAAGTTTGATCCGATGTTTCTCCACAAGAACTTTATGTTTCTTCCCGAAGGAACCTATGTTTCTTCGAAAGGGCTTCATGTTTCTTCCTCAAGAAACAGACGTTTCTTCACAAGAACTTCATGTTTTTCCAGAGACGAGCATAACAGTGAACTATAACAGAATAGTACACAATGAAGTTCTTGTGGAGAAACACCGATTTCCTCAGGATAAGACATGAGATTCTTATGCAGAAACATCTGTTTTTGAGGAAGAAACATGAAGTTCTCCTGGAGAAACATCGATTTCTTCAGGGAGAAGCATTAAGTGCTTGTGGAGAAACACCGAATTACTCAGGAAGGAACACGAAGTTCGTGTGGAGAAAACTAGGTTGTTGACAAGAACAATTTAGGAGCTTATATTCCCACCCCAGATGAGAAGTGTAAGTTTCGCCTTCCAACCGAGAGCAGGATACTGGGATCCCAGGATCTTCGGCCCATTAGCTTAGAAGCTCATGCTTTAAAAGCTAAATGTTGTTGTGTTACTCACACTCACTACCCATCCCACCTCACGCTCTCTGAATAAAGGAGAGAATCCCGGATTTCTTATATCCTTGACATATCGAAAGAATTGAAGGATTCCAGGATTCCGGAATTCGAGGATTGCAAAAAACTGTCCCTCGATCGGAATGGGAAAACTACAGCTATGTACTCACCCCCACCCTCACCCTCATATTAATCAGCATCTATTGGAATTGAAGAACAAGATGGAAAACTGACAAATCAACATGACTATAAAAAGGTTCATTTATCAAATACTGCATAAGACACTACAAACCGTTCTTCAACAAGGATTCAAAGCCGTTCATTTCGTTGATCACTATACACTAGCACTTCTAAAATACAATTAATATAATTAACTCATAAAACCCTCATTTGTTCAATCAAATCCGAATACACTTCAGGTAAACTGCCCATATTTATTTTTGTCCTAATCTAATATCATTTTCCCTTTATCTACATCATCGTAACTAGTCTTACTACTGTGAACTCAGTTTATCAATATATACAGAGTTTTTCGATCTATACATCACAAAAACTTCATGCTAATGATGAGAAAATTTTCGTTGTCGAGATGGTCGTTGCGTCGATTTTGAGACGGATTTTGTTTTTATAGAAGGTGAACGTTTTCGTGCTGATAATGTATTTGACTGATGGATCCATAACATATGCCTTTCTTCGTCAGCTTTCGACGAAAATATATATGGTAATTGACACTTTGGACATTGTTTTGTTTGTCCTGATGCCAGTTGCTGATCTGGCACAAGATTTTTCTCACCAGCAAGTATTGAATGTGTTCTTTGAAGGAATGTGTCATATGGTATTTACTGAATGTCATTTGTGGCCATGGTAAATAACCTCCACTTGACCTAAGAAGTTCAATTGTTTTCGTTGCTTTTATGGGATGACGTGTACAATGAACACATGTTGAACTTTTGCATTTAATGAATGATACATAATACGACGATCGAACACAATGGCGGAGGTATAATTGAAGAGTAAATCGTATATTTGGCTGAGTTGAGTCCGAGTCGCATCGAAAATTGACTCGAGTCACCTCGAGTCATTTTCTGGAGGAAACCTGCCTCCTGATTCATTTTTCTAAGAACAGGTCTTCAATCCTCTCACAAGTGACACAATGTTCCACTTAGAATATTCTCAAATCTGAAAAATAAGACTCGAGCCCGAGTCAGACTCAGACTCGCTTGTCTCTGCTTTTTACAAGATCATTAAATGTTTTAACGCTTCTAATAGCAATGCGTACTAACTTTGTTGGGCTGTTTTCTTGCCTAGTTGACCAATTTTACGGCAATTCTATAGAAATCTTATAAGAATTTTATATAAGGCAATCGATAGAAATGCGTAAGATATTGATAAGATTCTTATAAGCAAGAATATAAGAATCTTATAAGAGTCTGATCAGTGCTGGGCGAGTAAAGCTATTTTTCGAGTCGAGTCACCAGTGTTTTCGAGTCGAGTCGAGTCAGTATTATTTTTCTATTTTTTTTCGATTACTATTTATTTTTATAGAGAACGTTAACTACAACTTTTCGATAATCGTTATCTATTTTTTAATTTTACATATACATATACTCTAATTAATTATATGTTCTTCACATTTATTCTACTTTTGTCTCACGAAGGCGTCTTTGATGTTGAAACGTAACAATAAAATAGAATAAGAAAGAGTATTCAGAAATAACCCAAATTTATACAAGAGGAAATGGATGCAAAGCAGTTAATGAATAGGATTTTTTTCGATTGAATGACTCGAGTCAAACAGTCGAGTCAACGTCTTCCAATTTTCGAGTCAGAGTCAAGTCAGAGTCATTAAAAAAATGCGACTCGAGTGGACTCGCTCAGCACTGATTCTGGTAAGAATTTGGTAAGATAGATTATATAATTATTTTATAAGAATTCATAAGATTCTCATAAGTATCTTATAGGAAGGATATAGTACAATTTCATCAGATTCTTTAGTGATCAATAGTCTATGTTCTACTGTTTCATACACAAATAAAATAATTTTCTTTCCAGTTATTTAACTTTTCTATCATAAGATCTTAGTTCAACGCGGACAGTCTCATGACTTGTCCTCACTGTCTACTTCTTATAGACCGAATTTACTTCCACATATCTATCATGTTTTTTTTTGTTTTTTTCAGCTTGTTGTTTAGTGAACATCAAAATTAACAAGAAAAAGAAGAAACAGTAATTAGGAACAATGTTCGAAAACAAAAAATAGAATAATACGCGGCACAAAAATATCTGATACATGTGTGTCTTATATTCCCTTTGAACAAAAACGGGGAAGTAAAAACTTACAAAATTTTGCAGTAAAATACAAAATAACTACGTGTGGAGAGAAAAGTGACCCTCAAAAATCTGACATCTAGACTAGCGCGGGATTGAAAATATACTGCCAAAAAAGAAGCGAAAAAGTATCTGACGAGAAATAATCTTCTCTCGGAACTGGTAACTGTCGCACGTTATACTACCAAAAATGCGGAATGAGAGCCAAGAGTATGTGAGAGGAATTCGTTTTGATGCTCGCTTCTCTGTGCCAAAAAAAAAGCGACCACGGGAAAAAACGGTACAACTAAGTAAACATACACGAAAAACTAAAAATCAAATTCTTATACTGATTTAAACAATTTTGTGAGGGACACAAAATTGTTATTAAAGAAAAGAGAGAGGGAAGAATGGGGAGTCAGATTTGAAGATCACGTTAGGTAATCATACTAGTTAATACTCATACTGTCGAAAGGGAGGTGATTCACAGATGCGAGAAAAAACCTCGTCATCATTCCAATGTTTAATTGGGATTTTTTGAAAACGACAGCATTTCGATAGTCCCATATCGTTTTAGTGAAATTTCCAATTTGAAAAATGATATTTTTACGTTGTGCCACAGTGAGATCATATGAGAGGATTTTCTCGATGTAAACGATTTGATTCGTATGGCGCTCAAAAGACACATGAGTCGCATGCATCAACAATCAAGTCGGTCATATACTGGTTAGAAAAAGGTACACACGATCCATAGATTGGTACACAGTTTCAGGTTGATCACAAAAAACACATTGTTTTTCCTGTTCACTTCTACCACCTCGTGCTCGTATGTGTAGTGCATTGTTCACTAGTTTTACCCAAATCTCATGTGCATGTGTTGACATTTTACTCGCCAGTAAGAGTTTAAAAAATTGTATATTTTTAAGATGATTCATCTTCCGGTAGCACACTGGTAGTCGAAAATGATACTCATATATCAGCTGCCAATAAATGGATAAACCTGTTTCTGGTATGACGGATGGGTTTCCATCTGTTAACCATTTCGCTGTTCTGTCCACTGCTTCGCAAGATAGACTAGCCCCCTGCTGTATATGCGGGACTAGGTTTGACCATAATGAACGATCAAAACGCTGTAACTGAGTGGCCATGGACTGCAGAGCATAAAACTTCCACTTCGTTGGAGAGTTAGACATTAGACGTAAGCCACATTTAATTCTGAACCCTTCGACCATTGTTTTAATATCTAATAAGGCAAATCCTCCATCTACCTTTTTTCCAGTTATAGTTTTAAAACTAATTGTGGGGTGTTTACCCGGCCACACGAAGGTATTTGCGATCTTTTGCAATTCATTAATGGTGGTTAATGGGACTGTGATGAGGGAGAGACGGTAGACGATACAACTCAGAGCGAAAACTTTCAATATTGTACTTCTCTCTAAATGAGAGAGGCTAACTTGCGACCACATCCCCAAATTTTGTTTTAAAGACATTTTGAGCTTAAATAATTCAGAAGGTGGAAAATGCCCCCGTTTGTCGATCGGAACCCCTAAGAAGCAGCACCAGTCAAGTTTGACTTGTCCCTGACATGCTGGTGGTGGTAGCCAATCACTAATCCAGAAAACCTCAGTCTTCTCAACATTTGTTTTTCCATCTGATGCCTGGTTGTAAAGGTCAAACATCTTGATAGTCTCCGTCTCCTCATCTCTACTGAACACAATAGTATCAATATCATCGGCATATGCTATTGTTTTTATTGTGCTATCAATTCCATCATAAGGGAAAGCCTTCCTTCGTACAGCCTCATACTGCGCACCTGGTGGGATGGTGCCTGGGATTTTTGGATTATTTCTGAGATTATACAATAGAGGTTCGAGACACACTACATATATAATACCAGATGACGAGCAACCTTGACGCACTCCAGACTCGAAATTAATAGGATGCGTTATTGTACCATTAATTTTGATTCGAAAAGTCGCGCCGTTGTACATTAATCTTATCTAGCGAATGAAATTCTGTCCAAATCCAAAACTCCGTAATACTTCGAAGAGGGAATACGGTGATTGACTCGATCGAAACATGTCGTGCTCTGCACTCTTATCACACATTTTTATTTTACGAACTTCATTTTCTTCCTACAGTCCTGATAGATATGTGGAAGTAAATTCGGTCTGTAAGAAGTAGACAGTGAGGACAAGTCATGAGACTGTGCGCGTTGAACTAAGATCTTGTGATAGAAAAGTTAAATAACTGGAAAGAAAATTATTTTATTTGCGTATGAAACAGTAGAACATAGACTACTGATTACTAAAGAATCTGATGAAATTCGAACTTCATTTTCTTCCTACAGTCATGATAGATTTTCTATTCTTGTATCTGTTATGGACATATATATTCGCGTATATGGTTTGATTTGTGTTCTAATCACGTTTTCAGACACGTGCTGGATTAGATTCATTTCAATGGGGTAGTTTACACGTCTGTAGATCAGGTATTAGTTGTGGCGACGTTGTATTGGCAGATCACAAACTGTAATCCTGCTGCTTTTGATTGGAAAGTGGTAGCTGGTGAATTAAAGTTTAGTTTAAATCAATATCGTCGGTCCTTTGGCCTATATATTAAGCACATTATAAAGAGAAAAGAAAGATATAGTTATAATGGAAAGAAACACGTGGATTTCGTCTTACTTATTGTATACACTTATTAAGAGGAGTACGAACATTACGATCATTTGGAAGAAATCATTAGTTGCTACTATTCCAAATTATTTTAAAGTGGCAGATATTATTGTTGTCGTAACCTAGGTTCCATTAGGTACCAGGTTTTATCGTTAGTTTTATATTTGCACGTTATATAGCAGTTTTCAAAATTTGTTCAAATTAAATGTATTTGGATTGGATTAATTAACTTCGTTCGAATTTCAGTTATACAGATAACTACCAATATCAATATCCTGACGGGAGGAATAAAATTCTACTGTTTATTTCACGCAACTGACCCTTGAGTTAGGTACAGGTAAGTTAACTGGTATGATACTAGTTAACGTACCTGTCCTACCCTATTATGTCTCTCATTTCTTCAAAACTGGTGACAAAATCAATGTCACATCATAAACTCTTGAAAGGGTCTATCGCATTGATCTTGACAAATGGCGATGGTAAAACTGATCGCTGTGCCATAGTACAAGCGGTGAGTGCAATTCTCGGCTCATCAGACACAATTGAGTCCATCGTCAACTTAGGTTGCATAAGAGAATGGTTTATCAGTTTAGGTGAACCATCGTCACAACAGAAACTGTTGCAAGAAGGAGAGTTGAAAGTCGGTTCACAGCGATTTTCAATCATGAGCCGATGGGGAGGTACGCCTGTGAGTATTGAATGTGAAACCTTTTCTGCTCCGTACAAGTCCATAAAAACATTTGTTAGACGTCTGCGCATACGTTTCCCATCAAAGAAGGACGAAGA